AATGAATTCTAACAACAGCTGATCAAGCTTAAAAGTGCTGCTGTTGTTTAGCGTGATAAACAAACAAGAAAAAAAAAGCCGATCACTGATCAGTTTCATGATTGAAGTTTCAACAGGCAAGAGAATGATAGGGGAGGCTGTCATAAAGTTCAACATCAGTAACTTAGCTTGCACACAGCTGTATAGAAACTCCGTCGTGCTAGCTAGCGAGTTAACTGATTGTAAAAAGTCAGCACAACGAAAATAAACTACACCTAAACTCGGTTTATATCTGACCCAAATAGAGTGCAACTTCTTACCTGAAATTCAGTTAACCTGATGCTCCGACCGGCAGCCGCCTGCTTCTCCTGCCTTCAGTTTCCCTTATCCACGATTGAGCTCTGCATTTGCCACCACCGGTAGATCGGCGGCCGCCTCGCCGCCTCGTATGTCTCTTTTCCCACATGTCCTTTCTGTCACACACCGGTGGCTAGCTGTCCTCTGTTGTAGCTCCGCGTTAGCCACCACCAAACAACTCAGTTATTTTTCCCACATCGACCAGCATCTGGACAACCACCTTTCACTGTTTATACCGTTACTAAAATGAATAAATGAATCATCAGCCCATATAAACGAAAAATAAGTCCAGCGAGACACAGACTGTTTGCGAGCGATCGGGGAGTGAAAGGAGTTAGAGCCGCCTCACTGTAAGCGAAGGCCGGGTGCTTTTTAGCGAAGGGTCGCTAGCCGCGCTAGCTATCTAGCCGGCTAGCAGCAAAGGGTAAGAGAACTGTTTGTTAATATGGGATGTCTTGATAAAACGAGCAGATATTCGAAGTTTACATACCTACATTCTCGCCTGAAAATATCTTAAAAATTTCTTTTGTGACCTAGAAACACTAATAAAAGACATAAAACAAAGTGGTGGCCGCCATTGTTTGACTCTGTAGAGGCGTGCTATGAATTGTGGGATATGGAGTTTTCCACCAAGCATACACACTTTCGGCCGTACTACTCCTGGGCCCTTTCTCAATTCTCAAGTACG